ACAAAACAAAACAAAACAAAACAAAACAAAACAAAACAAAACAAAACAAAACAAACAAAACAAAACAAAACAAAACAAAACACCCACGGCAGAGTCCATTTAATGAATTTACATTAGGCCTCTCCAATCCCGAAGCTTAAAGTTGCTTCTTTCCTTTTCTTCAGGACTTGGTGTTCTGTCTTTCCCAGATGTTCAGATTTTTGTCTGTGCCAGAGAACAAATTTGGCAATCCATTAGACAACCACCTGCACCCCTGTTACCCTCTCAATTCCTGGTAGTTTCATTTCTGTACACAACCCTTTACCTATGGGTACAGAGATAATGCCCCAAATAATAAGGCATCCTTTGAGCAATATATCCAAAAGAGGCACTACTAGACCTGAATGGTGGGTCCTTTCACTTGAAAAAGTTTTAGATAGTTATTGAGTCCCGAAGGGAACTTACGTTACCCTGTGCCTCCAACACATTGTGGCCAGAATAGGCCCCCTTTTCTTTTTAAGTATCCTCTCAGTCATCTCAAATACTTACAGTTAATGAATGATGTATCTGAAAGAGGCAATGGTACGTTTTCTACTGGAAGGGGGTGATCTTGACACCCACTGATGAAAGCTGGTTGTGGCTCTTGACTCTCGCTGGTCAGGAAACTTAGCCCCTGCTGATACAGGAACCAGTTTCCAGTTGTTTGGGGCTGTGCTCAGGATTCTTCCTCAAGAACATCTGGAGTAATGGAAGGCACACTAACCATCTGGTCTCAGGCAGAGATTAAGAGTATGGTAGGAGGAGGATTTTCTCACCTTTTGCTAACATGGCCTTCCCTGTGGTGCCAAATGGATTTGCTGTTGATTCCTTCGAAGATAGCAGAACCAGTGTTTTCAAGCTTTTCTCATGGAAAAACCTTTCCTGCTCTCCAGGAAGCATCTCTGCTTCTGTCCTCAGAGTGAGACTGCTGAGGTCCAGTCTTGTGGACTGAGTAACCATTGGTTGTTGCCCAACCCCCAATCCCGTGATAGAGCGCCATGGCTGAGCCTCAGTTCTAAGTGTGAATCTGCTGTGACTGTTTCACAACTAACAGGGTAAGTTCTTCCTATTGGCTGTGTCCTCTAGAGAACCCTGACTCAGGGCTAGTGCCCTAGTCCACTGCCAAGGCTCTACTACTTGTCTCTTTGTCCTTAGGATTATCACCAACATGTGCTTAGTCTTGTGGCTACGACAGCCTTAAGAATTAGGATAAGTCAGATACCGAGAACCTTGAAAAGGAGGCTAATGTTTTACTGCAATATTCTCTGGCCTCAGTACAAGGCTGCATGTTGGAAAAATTTGGGCAAAGGAAATATTAACCTCTAATACTATTCAACAGCTGTACTTACTTTATAGAAGCCAAGGGAGATGATCTAGTATATTATATATAATCTAATGTCTTATATACAGATTTCCATGGCTTTCTAGCAGGAGAGGGGGAAATCCAAGCTCTGTGGAGCATACTGGCAACAAAGCTCAGGTATCTGTCCACTCCTGTCTCCAACACTCTCCCCAGGGAAATGCCTGGCTTCTCAGGAATACTTAGTGCCATGCTCCTGTTTAAGCAAGGACCCTCACCGTGCAAGAAGCTCAGAGACTGCTGCCGGTCCTTCCAAACTGCACAGGACAGCGAGTATCCACCTGTCTGTCTTGATTCTGTTTTCTTGTGCACTGCCATTCTGAGGGCTGACTCAGAAAGGCCTAATTATTTTCTTTTCATCTCTTCTGACTTTTTCCTTCAGATGTCAATCAGAGCTCAAACCCTCTTTTAAACTCTGTAACTAATGCTTTGGGCTTCCTTACTCTTTGTTTGTTTGTTTGTTTTGTTTTGTTTTTCCTTATGGGACTTCCCAAACCCCAGTTCTCTGTTGCATTTCTTAACAGGTTCCTGTCTTGTTCCTGTTCCCTTCCCAAATGGGTAAAACTTTTTTTGTCCCAGAACTGTTTTTCTTTTTACTGCTCAAAGACTATTCTTAAAAATTTCATAGCCAGGCTGTGAGGTAAGGTAGCTGTGGCTTGTTCTGTCTCTCTGACCATCCAGCATTTCACCCCAATAACTGGCCCCGGGTTTGATTTTATTAATAAGAACTTTTAAGATTCATGCTACAAGGCTGGGCAGTGGTGGTGCTAGCCTTTAATCCTAGAGGGAGTCGGATCTCTGAGTTCAAGGCCAGCCTGGTCTACACAGAGAGAGACAGTTCCAGGACAGGGCTACAACAGAGAAACCTTGTTTTGAAAAAACCAAACAAAAAAATCCAAACCAAGCCAAAACAAACAAACAAACAACTTAATAACCCAAATAACTATGTCGACACAGATCTTGCAATAGTACAGAAAAACTTGAGGCTCCACACGCTTGACTGTTGAACATTGCCTTCTCCATGTTGAACACCAGAGACCTGAGGAACCCAGCCCTGACACGACCATCTTACAGAACCGAAGGCGCTTGAGACACAGGCTGACAAAAGATTGCCTCAGAGCAGCAGGCAGACTCAGCAGACCCTCACCGTAGCTCAGCTGCAGGAGCTGCCCCAGGTCAGGAGGACTGTGCTGGGGGGTGGGGCTCTGTAAAGGAAAAGCGCTTTATCTCAAGTGAGCCTGCCTTCCTGGGAGGGGCTCCCAGAGGATCCCCGACCTGCCCATTCGAGTAACCCTTAAGGGAGTAGACAAGGTTGTGTCTCCACCTAGTGGTAGATTACAGGATGTACAGGCTTTTGCTATGTCCTCCAGGCTGGACTCAAACTTGTAATCCATCTGGTTCCTAAGTGCAGGGGTATGCACGGCTTATAAATTCTTTGGCAGCCTTGACATATCCCAGGCAATAATTGAAGAGAGGGTTGGGTAATTCTTGGGGGTGTGGCCTTGAGCTACTACAAGATAAGTTAGAGTGTCGTCCACACCTCTGGAGGAAGGGTTTGGATGGGGTGGGCATGCTGAGCACTGCCGTGCAGAGTGGCCCTTGATTAATGAAGTTAATAAAATCAAAGGACCAGGTGGGCTGCCCACTGGCACTGATGTTGAAGTGACTAGTATGAAAACTTTGACCCATCTATCGACAGAAGCATTTTCAGACTTTAAAACCAGGTGTCAAAATAAAGTGCACGTCTCTGCCATTCATTCCTTAATGTGCTATTGGTAATCCACTATAACCCACAAGTATCAAATAAACTGCACATTTCTGCTGTTTGTTAAAGTGCTTTTCACAGTCCACCACCAGCCACCCAATGAACTTCATCGCCTACCGCTGAGAGCCACAACTTACATCTGAAAAACAAGGCTGGAGGGTGTTGATTGTGTAAAGGTGGTGAGAAGAAAGAGTTGGTGGGCTGGGATTAAACCCCAATAGCAGCCCCCTGATAAAAAACAGAGGGACATATCTGACTGTAGAGAAAAACATAAGTCTGACCTTAGACATGCGTTCTGTGGGTGAAATTCTATTCTTTCATAACGAAAATGTAGTAATAGGCGTATCTGTTGAGTAATTTCCCAGAAACCCAAGACCAAGTGAGAAACAGTAAAAGGGACCAGGCCAGGGGCAGATGCAGGGCCTGAGATGTGGCTGTAGATGTGTAACCTTGGCTTTCCTAGAACTCGCTCTACAGACCAGGCTGGCCTCAAACTCACAAAGATCTGTCTGCCTCTGTCTCCCTAGTAGCTGGGATTAAAGGCGTGCGCCTCCTGGCTTAACCCTTCTAATAAACTCTTTACCCCAACAATCTGTCTGAGTGTCCCTTGTGAACTCACATCTGAGACCTTTCAGGTTCCACTTGTGAACAAAGAAAGTCCCTGCTCTCTAGTTTGGGATAACCGAGTAAGTGTTTAATATAATGCTAAGCCGTGACAAATGCCTGTGTTTAGCAGGGGAAGGTTGTGCGTGCCACTTGAGATAGTATGAACAGAGACCTGAGAAGGAGAAGGGGCGAGGCCTTCAGTTCGCAAATCCAAGTTGGCTAGAATTATAGGTGGTTGCAAGAAATTGCCACGACAAAGTTTTGTGAGCTCAACAAACTTTGAACTCTTGTATCGTTAGTCTTGCTGATCCTGCTCTGGGTGCCCACATCCAGTTGGGCTGTGGATGGCTCTGCAGACTGCCTGTTGACCTGTCCTAGGGTATCTTGGGTAAACTTCTCAGATGATAGAGAAATGAGGCTCACTGCTTGAAGAAGTGAGGACAGCAGCATTTGAACCACATGCATCCACATCCAGTCTTTCAGAACTGGGAACAGGAACCAAAAACCCATACTTCCATAATCAACCAGGAAGCCTAGATCCAGCACATTCAAATACAAACTATGGTTGGCCCATTTCAGTCCATGCTTCTACATCCATGTGTTCAATCATTGATAAAAAATATTTGAAAACAAACTGCTCTTTTCTTCCTTCCTTCCTTCCTTCCTTCCTTCCTTCCTTCCTTCCTTCCTTCCTTCATACCTTCATACCTTCCTTTCTTCCTTTCTTATTTTGGTTTTTTGAGACAGGGTTTCTCTGTGTAGTTTTGGTGCGTGTCCTGGATCTCGCTCTGTAGACTAGGCTGGCCTCAGACTCACAGAGATCCACCTGCCTCTGTCTCCCAAGTGCTGGGATTAAAGGCATGCACCACCATCGCCTGGCTTGACTCTTTTCTTATCATTATTTCCTAAAGACATAGTATAACAATCATAGCATTTGCAACATGTTAGGAATTTGTAAGTAATTTAGACAGAATTAAAAATATTTGAGATACACATAGGTCATAGGCAAATACCACATTATTTTGTATAAGGGACTTGAGTGTTCTTCTATTGTGGCTCTATAGGAGTCTGATCCAACCCCTACAGGTACTGGAGGACAGCAGTAATCAATATCTTCAGCTGTTAAGTACCAATCCATTTAGAAACTTGAATACAATATGCCAGCTCTGATACAGAGTAGAATTTTGGTGACAAAAATGTTATTTTAGAAATGTGATTTTCTGATCTTCTTGGATGTGGGTTGCAGTCCTCAGTGGGAACCACGGATGGAGATGTGTGCTGAGAAAGTACTACCCTAGAAGGCCACTGCTGTGGGACACAGTTCCCTATTCCAGTGGCCACATCTTGAAATCAGGGTCATGAAGGCTTCTTCAGCTTTCCCATTCATGACCCCAATTGCCTGAGAACTCTTTACATGACTGTGGGCATGTAGGTATATAAGATATGTATAAAAATCAAACATTTATCAATAGAAAAGAAAGTTTATTTAAAAATTATTTAGTGCCGGGCAGTGGTGGCGCACGCCTTTAATCCCAGCACTTGGGAGGCAGAGGTAGGCGGATCTCTGTGAGTTCGAGGCCAGCCTGGACTACCAAGTGAGTGTCAGGAAAGGCGCAAAGCTACACAGAGAAACCCTGTCTCGAAAAACCAAAAAAAAAAAAAATTATTTAGTATACATATTTTACTATCTATTAAAAATAAAAGCAAATTCACATACTGATGAGGTGGGTGTGCTTGTTTGCTTTTATATAAAGAATTAGACCTTAGCAGACTATTTGGTACAGCAGGGCACAGAGCATCTTTGACGTCTTTAGAGTAGGCTGATATTTTTGTTATTTTGTAATTGTCAATTCTGAGGATGCTTCTTCACATAAAGTTGCAGAACAAAGGTGGCGGAAGTGTGTTTCGGGCCATTTCAGAAATAATTGGACATTCTGTTCTAATCCCAAATCAAAATTCATTTAGAGAGGGTATTTATTTCGAGATAGGTTCTCCCTGTAACCATGGCTGGCCTAGAACTCAACATAGAGGCCATAATGGCCTTGAGCTCACATAGATCAGCCTTTGCCTGCTTTTGCCTCCAAGTGCTGGGATTACAAGCCCATCTCATCTAGAGGGTGGTTTTTTGTTTGTTTGTTTTTTGTTTTTGGGGTCTTTTTTGAAACTTAAATCAACAACTCACACAGCAATTCTAAAAATTAAGCATTCTGCTGCAGGACAACACAGAAGCATGCCGATGTGAAGTTGACATGCTAAGGGATGATGGGAGGGAAACACTAAAAGCCTTTGTTTTCCATAGTTAAGCCAATGCGTTTGCATCAATCAGAAAGCAAAAACAGTACAATACAGACTGCGCAGTCTCCAACCAGAGCCGAGGTGTCTCAGGCAGCACTTTCTGGTGCTGTGTGGTGTGGCGGCATGTGACACAGGCGTCCCAAAGTGCACACGCTTTGTGTTTAGAAACCAGACTGCAGGATCAGTAGTGCCAGAACACTTCGGACTCACTATGTGTTTTATCTTGATTACTCTTGGCCAGCTTGTGTCCTGGAAATCTTTCCCTACTGCCAAAATTTTCATAGCCCTCACACTCAGTTACATGTGGGGTCACAACCCACAGTTTAAGAAGCCAGCGTGTGACTATGAGGGTGCACACCTGTGACTCCAGCCAACACTTGGGAGGTGGAGATGAAGGTGGAGGCGCACAGAACTCAGTTACAGAGAGTGAGCTGGAGGCTCGCCTGGGCTATGTGAGACTGTCTCACAATACACACCATAACAAAACAGCAAAAGTGAATCTGGGTAATAGTATGTCTGCCGTATGGTTTGAATGAGGCTGAGATGAGCTCATACTCAAGTGACACTTAGCTCATTGCCCAATGTTGTAAATGGTCCAAACATGTCAGGTGCTACAACTGTCCTTATTTGACCAAAAGCTTACAGGCCAGAGGACTCCGTTCTTGTCCATCTTTGTGTCTACAGCCCCCAGCCCCCAGCTGGAACCACACCAAACATTCAGCAAGTGTTGCATCAGTACCTGTTGGGAACAGTGAGTTATGGATGAGTCCTATGAATCGGATGCCCCAGGAATTACTTCATTGTTATTGATACTTTCTGCACATCAGAAAAATACGTTTATTTCTGGACTATGTAATGTTTTGTAAATTGGCAGCATGAGGTCCTATTCCTACTAATCTGAATGATAGGGAATGTTCTCTATACAAGCCCTGTCTGCTGTGTGCCTTGACTCAGGAAATAGTTTTGACAAATGCCACCTTGTGGATCCTTGTATGAACTCTGTGTGAACTGATGCTGCCTGGGTTGAGAAAACTGACACTCAGAGAGGCTGGATAACTTCCTTTGAACACAGGCATGGAGATCTTGTCCTGACCACAAAGGCTTATTACTAACCGTGTGATATCTGCAAAACCAAGGACCTGTGCCAAATGAAAAACAAGGGCTGGAGATGACTTCAAACCACACATTCGGCCTTAAGATTTTCATGTGGAAAGCAGGCTGCACTTCTAAACATGTCCACCAGAGGGTCAACGCAGTCTGCAGCTCCTCAGCTGGGGTCCCGGTGATGGGTGGAGAAGGGACTGGGGCTTGTTGGATGGATTTCCCCCCTTCTCTCTGTGGGATGACTTCCTTGCCTGAACAGTGAGTCCTAGGATGCTGCTGTGTTCCTGAAGTTCAGGGCCAGGTCTCTTCTCCCAGAGTGAGCTCTTGTGTTACTATGGCCTGCTCTCTCTTGGGGTAGTCGAATCAAAGATGCCTGTCAACTGTAAGCCATACATTTGTTCTTGGTGATTCTGAGGAAGAATGGCACAAAACACAAGTCAGTCACACCCACTTTTCTTTTCTGGTATGGGGTTCACAGAGTCCCAGACAACAAGGAGGTGCTCAGCCCAGATCTCACTCAGCTGGTGGCCGACTACTACTTGTCTCAGAATTGTGAGAGCTGGGGAATTGCAGTCTCCAGCATGACTAAGCTACATTTAGAAAAGGGGGCAGTCTCAACCCCCCAGAATATTCATTAGACAAGTCTTTGCATCCTGAACCAATAGGATGGGGTGTTTGGAAAGGGGCCAGGCTAGAAGAATAAGGACATTGTGACTCTCTACAGTTACCAACTGGCCTATGGGGGAAGAGTGCAGACATTGAGATCAGGGAAAATAATTTATACCAAGTAAGGTCACTCAGGCTTCTAAAGGACGACCCCACCTCTTTTCTCTCAAACATGGATCCTAGCTTCACATCTTTTGTATTTAGCCTGGAGTACATATGGAAGCCAGAAAACTAGAAGTGGCCCACGGGGCGGGGCAGTGGAATATGTGCAAACTGAATAGGGAGGGGGTACACTAGAGGCAGAAATGTCTGGGCAGGTAGTGAAGTGGTGGGGATGGGTGTAACATGAATCTTAAAAGGTCTTATTAATAAAAACAAACCTGGGGGCAGATATTGGGGTGAATTCTGAAAGATCAGAGAAGCCGAACAGGCCACAGCTAACCTCACCTCGATAACTTCTCAGCTGATCCTGTTTCCTCAAACTGGAAGCCTCTGAGTCCTCATCCAAATGGATCTCAGCTGAACTGCTGCTAAAAGCTAAAAGCTTAAAAAGGCTCTAGTTCCTGGTCCTCACACCTTATATACCTTTCTGCTTCCTGCCATCACTGGGATTAAAGGTGTGTGTCACCATGCCTGGTTATTTCCAGTGTGACTTTGAACTCACACTGGAATGCTAGGATTAAAGGCGTGTGCTACCACTGCCTAACCTCTATGTTTAATATAGTGGCTGTTCTGTTCTCTGACCCCCAGATAAGTTTACTGGGGTGCACAATATATCAACCACAGATGGGAAACAAGGGGACAGGCCAAAGGTTAACCAAATGAATTGTAAAAGCTATTTGGGAACTTATAATCTTGCAACCCAAGTGAAAAATTTAATAAAGGGGGCTAGAAGAACACATGTGGTGTGAAAGAATGGAGGAAAACACTGGGCTGGGCTGGGAGTAAAGGTTTAAATGGGGATGGAAGAAAAGGGGATAACGGATAGGTGTTTTTTTTTTTTTTTTTTTTTTTTTTTTACCAAAACTAAAGATGAATGAAGAAGCCTCATGAAAACCACTGTAAGCTAATCCAGACTGCATTTAAACAGTGAGTCTGACTGACGGTGAGGCTCTGTTGCTGGAGACAGAACTTACACACCCCATTGAACGTGGAGAAGTCAAGTCAGTGCCTAACCAGAGCCTCCGCCCCTCCTGACCAGTGTTCACTGTGTTGGGAGGAACTCTGCATGCTACCAGAGGGGAAAAGTAAACACCCACCCACCCACCCAGCCATCCGCCCGCAGCAGTGACTCGCCGGCGTGAGATGCTACCAGAGGGGAAAAGCAAACACCCACCCACCCACCCACCCAGCCGCCCACAGCAGTGACTCGCCGGCGTGAGATGCTAGTGCAAGAGCGGCACAAACACTGTGGGGGTCACCAACCGTTCTCCCGTTGGGCTTAAGGCCCGCGTCTTAAGATGGAACCCATGCCTGACACTGCTCAGGTGGTCAGGAATCCGAGCCTGGCCAGGCCATGGGCTTAGGGGGAAACCAGATGCTGCTAAAGGAACATGACAATGAAATTCCTCCTAAAAACATTCTGCCACAGATCAGTGATTCTCTCAGCCATCATCAGAGAAGCTGCTTCTTGCTAATCGAGGTCCACACTGGACAATGAGCGGAGAGTAAGAGACGTTGCAATTAAATGGGATGTCTTCATCAAGCCCCTCCCCTCAGAGCTCAGGGAATAAGGAGGCGGAAAGATTGTGAGAGCCAGAGGGGATGGGTGACTCCAAGGAAACAGAGTCTTCCAGACACAGCAGGACTGATATTCATGTAACTCAGAGACAGTGGCAGCATGCACAGGACCTACACAGGCTTACGTGAGATGGGGTCCCAGCCCTGAGAGGGGGAAGTGGACATGAGCTCCTGTTCCTAACAAAGAAGCTACCTCCAATCAACATTCACTGGGGAAGGAAATTTTACTTTTTTCCCAGTTGATTCTCAATGGATTGATTAACAACACGTTAGAACAGGCTTCATGCCCAGCAGTAGTTGGCCAACACAAAGTGAATCCAATAGTATTTTTGTAGACCTTTGTCTCATATTACTTTGGACATTTTTTGTTTACTGGTCTTTTGCTTGTATATCATGGTTTCCGATTTTGTGGATTTATTTGTTTGTTTATTTGTTTTTTTTTGTGTCTCTGTGTGTTTTGTACTCTTCCCCCTTCTTTCCTTCCTTCCTTTATCCCCCTTTTAAAAAAAAATCTGGTTTCTTTGCCTATATTTTTCTAAAGGTATATAGGAAGAAGGAGTGAAGTTGAGGGAGTGGAGAGGTGGGAGGATCTGAGAGGAGCTGATGGAGGGGAAACCATGACCACAATATATTGTATGAAAAATAGTTTATTTTCTGTAAATTAAAGGAGTTTGAACAGAGGTACCCCACATAGGTGAGTGATTCTTCCCCTAGAAGACATGGATTACTAAACGAAAATCACAGTGCTAGGCACAGGTTACTACCCCAAGAGGTAACAGGTTGGGGGCCCCCGGAGAAACTCTGAACAGTACAGACTTATGACTTAGAGAGGCATTGTTTGGATGTCTAAGACTTCAGTCCCGTTATTGAGAGCAGAATCGTATGCTTCTTGAGCAAAGAAACAAGAGACATCTGGATCAATGCATCAATATAGAGGCTGGTCTGGTCCAGAAATGAGAGCAGACAATGTGGGAAACCATGGTTACAGTTTCCAGAGGCAAAGGGTTCTTTCATCCCCAACCTGATGGTCAGCTCTCCCAACAGCTCAGGGCAGAAACATTTTTTTTTTCAGCTTCTGTTGGGTACCAGTCCGAAGACTGGGAAATGTCCCTGTGACCTAGACTTCATTCCCTCCAGAAAACTGCTGTGCAGGGAAGGAAGGTGATAAGCCAAAGGTGCAAGAGTATAGAGTATTTACCAGAGTAGTACAGGTACAAAAAGACCGAATAAGATACTCTTCAGGGGAGACGGAGATGCAGTGGGCTAACTGCCCTCCTGAAGGGCAAGCTTAATTCTTTTATAGTAGTTATGGGGCATTACTTGGTTTTGGACCACATGCCAGTTGTGTGGAATCCAATTCTAAATAGGTAATTGGGCATCTCCCTATCTTGTTAGACAGTGAATTTTACAGCATTAGATGCCTTTCTTGAGATTGGCCATTTAGGACAAGCCACTATGGTACCAGGAGCTAGCCTTTAAACATTTGTATAAAACATCACCAGTCATGGGCCAGGCTCCAAGTCTGTAGTCAGGTTCTGATTGTTGAAGTGGAGGACGTTTTGCTTCTCTTTTTGTCTCTGCACGTCTTTTCTGTCACATCAGCAGGGTCAAATCACTAACAAGGGACTTTATTTTTCTTTGGGACCTTATTCAGAGCTAAGTGGAGGGTCTTGAAGGGCCCTGGCTAGATTGCTGATCTCTCATAGGGTCCTAGGACTGTAAAGCATAAAGGATTTGTTTGATACTTTGAAGAGTTGATGGAGTAGTTCTGTATAAGTTGGAGGCCAGAGACATTACTTGCAGGTTAAGAGGTCCTTAGGCACCAAAGAAACACGAATACAGATGTTGATGGTAATGGTTAGTATCCCTGAGATGAAACCATGTGGAGCTTAATGACCTGTATTCTGGAAATACCCATCCTTCCAGAAGAGTAAGTAAGCAAAGTCTTTAAAAAAGGGGAATTATACCAGAAAGCAGATTCAGGTATATTAACCAGGAAAGCCAGCCCCACATACCCTTTTATGGAGCCATTCCCTGAGACTGTCTCCTTTTAATCAGATGTTGGTCCTTTTGGTCTTTTTCTTGCACTTCATACTATCTTCAGTAGAGTGGCAGAGAAACAGCATTCTTCTCCCATGATCAAGCAGGTATTCCCTTGGGTTGAGATGTGGTCCTTGTCTATAGCTAATTTGGCTAACAGGTATGGTGTCTTAGTTGGGGTTTCTATTGCTGGAATGACCAAAAAGCAAGTTGGGGAGACAAGGGTATGTTTGGTTTACACTTCCATGTTGCTCTTCGTTATTGAAAGAAGCCAGGACAAGAAATCAAATAGAGCGGGAACCTGGATGCAGGAGTTGATGCAGAGGCCATGGAAGAGTGCTGATTACTGGTTTGCTCAGCCTGCTTTCTTATAGAACCCAGGATCACCAACCCAAGTATGGTGGTATTTTATTTGTACTGAAATGTGATTTTAATTGTATGTTAATAAATAAAGTTGCCCAGGGGTCAGAGCTATTAGCAAGCCATAGGAGAGCAGGGCGGTGGTGGTGTACGCTTATAATCCCAGCACTTGGTAGGTAGAGCTAGTTAAGTCTCTGTGTGTTCAGGGATACAGCCAGCATTGGAGACACATGCCTTTAAGACCTGGAGGGCTGTACTTACAGGCAGTGACGAGGCAGTCACGTGTGGGTTTACAATCAATGAGAAGGCAGAACAGAAAGACTATATCAAGACAAACACACAGGAAGTAGGTCTCTTTTGGAGAGGTAGGACCACCGCAGGAGGAAGGGTAAGGTTTTAGCTCTGAGCTCTGACCTCTTGGCTTTCTCTTTTACATTGGTTCTATGTTTCTTATTTGATAAGATGGTTGGCTACATCTACACCCAAGGATGGCAACACCCACAATGGGCTGGGCCCTCCCCCACTGATCACTAATTGAGAAAATTGCTTACAGATGGATCTCAAGGAGACATTTTCTCAACTGAGGCCCCTTCTTCTCTGATGACTCTAGCACGTGTCAACTTGACACAAAACCAGGCACTACATATGCTAAGCACAAAGAGCTAATCTGGGTCCATTTATTCAGGTACCCATACCTGCCATAATGCCTAGTCTCACTAAGAGGGGCATCAGCTGAACAGCTCTCTTAGGTTGAGGGATTCTTAGAAGAGGTACAATGAAAGGGTGTTTATTAGGAGTAATTTGGATATTAGTAGTTATGAATGGTACAGGCATAGAAACAACAGGCAAAGGATGGTACAGGTGTCAGCACCATTAGCTGAAAGACAGGGATGGATGCCAGAGAGGTGGCTCCACAGGTAAAAGTGCTTGTCACATAAGCCACAAGTCCGATGACCTGAGTTTGATCACAAGGACCGACACAAAAGCAAGATGCAGTGTGTGTTTTTTTTTATCTGTGATCCCAGAATCTCTATGGTGAGATGGGAGGCAGAGACAGGATAATCAGTCAGATACTTGCTCATGCAAGGTAGCAGTAAACTGTAAAGAGAACTACCTCAAAAGAAGGTGCAAGGAGAGAACCGACTCCCAGAGCATCGTCCCCTGAATCCTACATGCACACTGGGGCAAGGAAATTCTACAGGGTGTGTCTTTAAGGTCCAGGAAGCAAACAACTCAGAAGTCTCAGGAAGACTCTCAAACTTACCAAACTCACAGGTGCCTTAGGATTTCTATTGCCGTGGAGAGACCCATGACCACAACAACTCTTATAAAGGAAAACATTTAACTGGGGCTGGCTTACAGTTCAGAAGTTTAGTCCATTGTCATTATGGTGGGAAGCATGGTGGCAGACATGGTGCTGGAGAAGGAGCTGAGAGTTCTACATCTGGTTCTGCAGGCAGCATAAAGAGACTGTTGATCCACTGGCCTGGCTTGAGCATCTGAGACCTCAAAGCCCGTCCCCAGTGACACACGTCCTCCAACAAGACCACACCCCTTTCAGCAGGGCCACGCCTCCTACTAGTGCCAATCCCTGTGAGCCTATGGAGGCCATTTTCTTTCAAACCACCACATTCCATTCCTTGGCCCCCACAGGCTTGTAGCTGTATCATAATGCAGAAACACATTAAGTTCAAGTACTTTCAAAGTACCCATAGTCTACAAAAGTCCAAAGTCTCTTCTGAGACTCATGGCAATCCCTTAACTGCAATCCTCTATAAAAGTAAAATAAAAAAACAGGTCACGTACCTCTAACCAACAGTGCCACACGATATACATTACCATTCCAAAAGGGAGCATAGTGAAGAAATACTGGACCAAAGCAAGACCCCAAACCAGCTGGGCAAACTCCAAACTCTGCATCTCCATGTCTGATGTCAAAATGCTCTTCACATCTCCAACTCCTTTCAACATTGTTGACTGCAACACATTTCTTTCTCTTGGGATGGTTCCACTCCATTAGCAGCTTTCCTCAGCTATCGCACTGCTCTGATCTCCAACATTTTGGCGTCTCTAAGGCAACCCAGGGTTCACCTTCACAGTTTCATATAACAGCCTCTCTGGGGGGTCCATTCAGGGACACCCCTGACATATGCCTGGCCTCAGTGGTTTTCCTTAGGTATGGAGGATGATTCCATAGCCCTTTTCTTCTATACTTGGCTCTAAAGCCAGAACCACGTGGTTGAAGTTGCCAAATTCTGCTGCTTTCTGGGGTTAGAACATGTCTTCCTCATTCAATTACATCTTTACCAGCTTTCTGTTTTCATCAGCTTTTCTGGTTTCCTTCACTGCCTAAGTTCCGCTGTCCTGGAACTTGCTTTGTAGACCAGGCTGGCCTCAAACTTAGAGATCCACCAGCCTCTGCCTTCTGAGTGCTAGGATCAAATGTGTGTACCACTATGCCTGGCCCTTAGCTTTTTTTAATTCCTTTTCACAGTTGCAAGCTTAGCTGTATGGGGACTTGCTCTGAGTCTACAACTCTCTATTCTACTTAGCATCAGGATTAAAAAAAAAAATCTGTTTATCTCCTTGTACACAGGACTTGGCTCCATTCCATTTCTTGGTGCCCCTTTCTCCTCAAAGTGTACATTTTGCATTTTTCCTTGCTCAGTTTGCTACTTTTCATTATAAATCTGCATAAGAGTGAACACTAATAAACATAGGACAGCGTCCATTTTCAGCTATTTTGAGAGTTCCTCTGCCAACACAATTAATCCAAAACTCTTCACTTTAGTCTCAGGCTGACATTTCAGACAAGAGCAAAAAGCATCCACATTCTTGACTGAAATATCACAAGAACAGTCTCTGAGCCATGTACTAAAATTATTCTCTGAAATCTCTTG